TATGATGGGGGTTGCACCATGGACAGGGTGGTCCAACATTTTGTAGTTTGCGGTCCAATTTATTAATTTGTAAACACTAGGAGACCGGGGGCGGGGAGGGGGGCATCAAAAGAAAAAAAATTGTATTCGTATTTTATTTTATAACAAACATATTATTATTATATAATATAATATAGTTATCACATTATAGAATGCCCATGGATTAGTACTGCAGCTGAGCCATCTCCCAAAGCCCAGGTTTTTTTTTAATTCATCACACTTGTAAATATTAAAATTATTAAATATAATATATATTATGTACAGTATAAATCTTCCAAGGAGTGCCAAAAAAAGGCTCTAAAGGGTGGCCTATAGAAGACAATAATCTTTTCGTGGCCAAATAACTCTTGGATATCAAATGTACAAATATATTTAGGTCCAATTCTCGACCAGGCTCTTTATACGTCCCCGTGGAGGTCTGGAGGTCATAATATAACAGCAGACTTTAGCTCTCTCATCCGAACGTTTCGTTAGTATTGGCATCATCATCATTCATCAGTATTGGTTGAGAATCCTCGAAACTGAAATGGACTATTCGATCATAATCGATATCCTCTGCAGGACAGACCATAAAGAGTTAATCGGGCAAACGCGCTTCGGGTTAAACGTTATCTAATCATAATATTGTTCCAGTTATATTTTTCCAGAACAACTTTTGTAGCTGGGAAGGCCCGTCACGGCACGGCAAGCGGTCGACATTTAAATCGCGGTTATAATAATAATGTGATACACTCAACTGCGACTCGTACTGTTATAATGCTCGCACAATAATAATATATGATGCATTATGCAAAATAAACGGTCGCGTTAAATCGGTCACGGTGCTACCACCCTTTCTCGGAACGCACAGCTCGGGATTTTGAATTTTTTATTATTTTAGCGCAAACTCTCTCTCTCTCTCTCGCCGTCTGTCGCGGCTCTCACACTCTCGTCGTAGTTTTCTCCTCTCCATCGCACAGTTTTCTCCGACTAGTGTTTTGATTTTTTGATCGAGCTACAGCTATTATATAGATTATAGATATATAATACGGCCGTGCACTCGAGCGTCGTAATAACAAATAGGTACCCAATAAAAAAAAAATAAAAATCCATATGAATTAACCATGGGGTGGGATAATTTTGGCGGCTTATCTATCCATATCGTAACCCAATACCCGCGACCGTCTCCGTCGCCGGCCAAGCACCGTATGCGTCGTGTAGTCGTACTGACTATACATCTGACCCATGGGCTATCATAATATTATAACTTACCATAATAATAATAATAATGTTATAATATGGAATCAAGATAGTGTATACGATTAGCAACGAATGAGACGATGAATATTATGTATATACAGTTACTACTACAACTCTGGTCGAGTGTACCTGTACATTACTTAATATGTAGATGTCCTAAACAATGCACTATGCAGCGGGGTAGAGACCACAACGGCGGCGGCGCCGCTTTAACATAATATTATTATTATTATGGTGGTCGGTCGTTGCATATTATAATAATAATAATAATAATAATAATAATAATAAGAATAATAGTAACAATACTAGTGATAATAATAATAATAATAATAATAATAATATTGTGTACCGCTTTCGATGTGTGCACCACAGGTGTACCTATATACTATATTATTATCATACAATACCGCCGATGAATAATAAATGACGATCGCGGCCAACGGATTTGTACCGTTATATTTCTGGACACACTGTGTGACACTCGCGCGAGTACCCATTGCCCACTGGCCATTATACTACGCTATATTCTACAATACTACTACTACTACTACTACTACTACTACTACTACTATGGTATTATACACTACCACTCGCGCATAAATCGGAATCAAACAATATATAATATTATTCAGGTGTTGCCCTGATCTACTTGTTTTACGCGGGACCGGCGGCGGCTGCGGTCGATTTCGCGTCTTCGCCGTGTGACCTGCGCGCGCTCGCGCCCGTTTCGCCGCGTCCGGTCCGTGTGCAGATATTATACAAAATATTTACGACAATAACATAACACTATGTATATTTATCGATTTATCCCCAATAGTCGACCAATGTCAAGTTGTCGTGTTTAGGTTGTCTATACAGAAGATGACGGCCAATCGTATACTATTACACAACTCGTAGAAACAGTGAAAACGCCTCTAAATATACCTAAATATAATGGACGTTTATTCGGGAACAAACTTTCTACAAAACGATTCCAGCGAACGACATTTCAATTTTCAGCGCCCGACAGTGTCTGGTATTAAGAGGTTTAACTGTTTTATTATTATTGTCGTAACAATAGGCGCATACTGCAATTTTTTGAGTCGGCAAATTGATAGGTCTACGCCCCCCCCCCCACATGAATTTTAGTTCGGAGTGGCCCTGACGGCAGTGGTTGACGTTGGCGAGGGGGTGGGGTGGTGTACGATGAGGATTCGCTTTTAGGGCTGTAATAAATACGTGTTACCTACCTACTATAAAGCTACTTACCCTTTAAACTTTAAAGTACTCAGTAAACGGTCACTTTGTACAGTCCATTGTTTAAAATACATAACGTGGACACTTTGCACGGACAGATAAAATGTGCATTGTAGCACGCGGACACTTATGGGTACTAATGTAGTATTATTACAAAGTATTATATACATTATACATAAAATATATTATATAATGTAAATATAAGTACATAGTTATAAAGCTTAATACGATTTAAACATTATCTATTTTATATTCGAAATTAAATTAAAAATGTTATAAATAAGTAGATAAACAAATCTAATAGTGGGTATCTAACTAAGCATTATAGGTATTTGATGATGTAATATATTTATAAATGTATGTAATCAATTAAATATATTTTTTTTTTATATACTGGTCGAGAGTCTGCCAAGAGTCAGCAAATTAAAATGTATGCCGATTAGCATCAATATCGAGATTTTTGTATGATTTTTTAAAATGTTATATTGCCGGTTAGATTAAGTAGTTTTGAATCAACTAAATTACTAATTAATTAATTTTTAACCCCCCTATATTCGTCATACACAGAGACATGGGTGTCTATATGTGTGTGTTTATATTTTATACCTGTATATATAGGCGCAAATAGTGTTTAGGATTTTGGGGGGGGGGGCTAAATCCTTACTTTGATAGTATTTAATAAGCTTAAAACAAAATGTAGGAAATGTTTGGGGGGGCAATGGACATTTTTGGGGGGCTTAGACCCAATCCCCCCTCTATTTGTGCCTATGCCTGTATACTAAGTAGGTGGGCCTCAAAGTTATTTAATTAATAACACATATGTAATAACAATATGTTAAATAACTATATTGTTAAACATATATTATTATACTAACAACTAAAAAACCTCAATATTTATCATAGGCGGAAATCCATTAAAATGTCAAGGGGGGCTAACATTATTATCATCAATGTAATAGGGGGGCTCCATGGACTTTTGGGGGGACTAAACCTCATCAAGCCCCCAACGATTTCCGCCAATGGGCCGATACATACAGCACTAAAATTAGGTAGTGTTTATGTGCAAAAAATAAACGTAAATGTTATAAAATACAATTAAATGAATGTTCAAATAAAAATACAACATGTAATCATCTAATTTTCTTTAAATACTATTTAATATTACATAATATCATTTTTTTTTAAATATAATTAAAGCATTTTGTTTCAATTTATATTTTGCGGTACAACTGCGGAATTCGCTTCTCCGCGTTGCCGTGCCACCATATTCAGTGTAAAATCGAGAGTTTACTGTATAAAGTAATAATGATGAAACTATTATAATTTACAAATTTCTTGGGGCTCAGACTATAATTTATTAATTTATTGAATTCTAAGACTAATTTCCAAGACCGCTAATTGAAATGGGGTTTTTGGTAAGTAAAGGAGTACCAAAATACAAATTTTGAAAAAAATGTCATGTTTTTAAAGGTTTTAGTACACTCATAGACACATAGTGCATACATCTTAATTTTTATAAACTGCAACTCTAATTTTTTTCTCCAGATTCTTATGTACCATTTTTTAAAATAATTTGTATAGGTATATTATGTTTTTTTATTTATTATAAAATTAACTGAATTAATGTAATTAAATTTAATAAATTAATATTATAGGTACATTTTTTATGAACAGTTAGAATAAAGTTGGAAATTAGTTATAAAAAAACAAACGACTTAGAGATGCGATACAATGAAGCAAAAAAGGAATAAAACGCTGAAAGATGTACTATCAAAACATTTTATAAAAAAATAAAAGAGTCAAATAAAGTGAATGAAAAAACTCACTTAGAAACAAAAAACAGTTTAAAAAATTAAATGAGAATTGATGTTGCTTGAAGGAAAAAGTCAATGAGTTGGAGCAAGAAAATGATTGTAAATGTATGGAAATAAGTACACTGAAGAGTAAATAATAAAAGGTCAACTACAACAAATGGATTTATTATCAGAGACAATTGAACAAATCAAGAAACAAAATATCGAAGCTTGTTGTAGTCTAAAAGAGATAACTAAAGTTAATAGTTCTTGTGAACTGGAAGATTCCACGATAGATACGTGTTGTGGTGCATCGAACAAAGCTATTAAAAATAATGCCACAAAATCGAATGCATCTAAGAAGAATATTCATAAAATCTTATTGAAAAATTTGATAGTGAGCTTGGAAACATTCTACGGAGTATTTTTTTTTTAAATAAATAACTATATTGCTTCATTTATAGTTTAATGTTATTTATGTCCGAGAGGATTAATACAAATTATTGACTTAAAGATTTGATGTGATGAATACAACAGATGTACTTTGAAAAAAACCAAGTTGTTAGATGGCTTAATTTTTTTCAAAGAACATGTATTCAACACATCAAATCCGTAAGTCAATAGTTTGGATTAATCCTCTCGAACATAAATAACATTAAACTATAAATGAAGGAATATAGTAGTTATTTATTTTTAAAAAATACTCTGTAGCATGTTTCCAAGGTCACATATCAAATTTTTCAATAAGATTTTATGAATATTCTTCTTAGATGCATTCGATTTTGTGGCATTATTTTTAATAGCTTTTTCATCGTTCGATGCACCACAACACGTATCTGTCGGGGAATCTTCCAGTTCACAAGGATTATTAACTTTAGTTTTCTCTTTTAGACAAGCTTCGATTTGTTGTTTCTCGATTTGTTCAATTTTCTCCGATAGTAAATTCATTTTCTGTAGTTGACCTTCCCTCTCGTCGAGTTTACTCTTCAGTGCACTTATTTCCATACATTTACAATCATTTTCTTGCTCCAACTCATTGACTTTTTCTTTCAAGCAACATAAATTCTCATTTAATTTTTTTAACTGTTTTTTCGTTTTTAAGTGAGTTTTTTCATTCACTTTATTCGACTCTTTTATTTTTTTATAAAATGTTTCGATGGTACATCTTTCAGCGTTTAATTCCTTTTTTGCTTCATTGTATCGCATCTCTAAGTCGTTAGTTTTGTTATGACTAATTTCCAACTCGTTTGACAAAAGTGCTCGTTCTAGTTTAAACGTTTCCTCCATATGATTGGCAGATATATTTGTGTCACATAGAATTTCTTTTGTTTCATTTAAGTCCATATTCAATTTTTTGTTCATCTCATTTAATTTATTGCATTTGGTTTTGCACTCATCAAGTTCCCTGCTAACTTTATTGAGTTCCTGTTCTTTGCAATTAAAATTATTCTCCGATTTTTTAACCACGCTATTCTTTTTTTCTAATTCCAACTGAAAAAATACAAATAAAACTATATGTGAATATTTTACCAAAAACATTATAAAGTTTATCCTATATTATGCTGCTTGTGGATCCGAGTGCGACTTGTAAAAGAAAGCTTTCAGCTTTACGTACCTACTGCACGTATACAAAAAAAATCCAACACTTTATGGGCCTAATCTAACCTAATTGTGTAAATTATACATTTATAGTACGTTCCTACATGGTATTTAGACTGTTTAGAGTATAGACTTTAGGTAGAAATAACATGGATTAAATCTGAAGTTCAGAACATAATAGTTCGACAACTTTTTTCTTTGTGTGTATGTATGACTAGTGACAGTGGACGAGCCGAACTAATAAATTTACTGCTTAGTATTGTTGTTTGATCTTACGCCGAAGACGATAATTACAGTCAAAATAGATTACCTTGTCAAGTAACTTAGTTAACTAGGTAACCCAAACATTAAATAATAATAAATTGCATTATCTCAAAGGTTAAGTCTCAGGAGTAACTTTTTATGTTATGCCAGTCACTATTGTATACATTACAGTGTAATTTTTTTACCTATTATATTGAATTTTGATTTAATTTATTTAATAAAATGTTACATACATTGAAATTTATGTAAGTAGATTATAATAAAATAGTTAAAAAAACCAAAATTATTTTTTTAATGAATATTAATTTTTGTTAGTACCTAATAATATCATTCTAAAATTACAAAAAGACGGTATTTACTTTAATTGTACATAATTCATTCTGAACACTTTTCAATTTTGTTTCAAAGTCTGATAACTCTATTTTTAATTTATCTTCATTTTCTTTTAGAGTTTGTATTTGATGATTCATACAGTTTATGTGATCTTCCAGTTTTTCGTTCTTGAGTTCACATTGATATTCTGCATTAGCAACTTTCTTAAGCGTTTCCGTTTGAAGTTCATACTTAGTTAAGAGTTCAGTAAACAATTTTCTACCATCAGTTTTACTTTTCTCGTTATGTTGTTCAAAGTCTTTGTATATTTCACGTAAGTCATTTCTCTCATAAACCACTGAATCAAAATCTTCTAGTTTTTTATTTAACTCTTGTATTTGTTCATCTTTATTGGATATAACCTGTTTTAACTCCATTATAGTTTCTTCAGAGAACATCTAGATAAATAAAACCATATTTAAGTATATAGGATTTCGTACTGTAAATAATACCATGTATAACTTACTTTGTATAACTTTATTATTGATATGAATTTAGAATAAAATGGATATTAAAATAATTTAAAATCAATTTTTTGTACAATTATTAATAAATAATTTGTCTGTTACAAACTACAATAAATTATACTGCTTATATAAAACCAAGCTAAACAAACGGTTGTCATACTTTTACTACCATAATAAACAAAATTACGTAAAATTAAGTCGTAACATAGATGCAAAGATAATATAATAATTTAATATTATACATTTAATTAAATGCATGTTAACATTAAGAAAGGATATTTGTAAATGATATTCTTGAACCCGAATAAATTATATACCATTGGTGTTCAGATTAAGGCTCATTATTATTCATTTATATTATTATATCTTATTGTTAAACTATTATATATTATTTTTAATAAACAACAGATATTTTTATATTACCAATAACAAACCAGTAAATTTGTTTGGTAACAATATTAAAATATTTTTTTATTTAATTACAATATTACAAATTTAATTATTATAAAACATGACACATCTACATTTTATTAAAACAACTAATTTAATAAAATATTTACACTTATAATATAACTGGGCATAGTTAAATAGAGACATTAAGTCTCTATTATTAGGTAAATTTAGTCAGCAATAGTGTTTTAGATTTACTTGGTATGCTGAATATCAACCTAGGTAGTGGTAAGATGGGACACCTAACTTTAATTGTATTTAAAGGGGATATAATTGTATTTTATTGAAAAAACAAATATCCTTTATTGGACATGTACAATTAGATGTACCAATTTTAGTTCCAATTTATTTGTTGTACCTATTATTATTATTCATTCATTTTTTTCTAAATATAAAAATTGATTTTTGTTCTTTCATGGACCATGGCTGAGGTAAGATGGGACATAAATCCTTATTCATCAGTCATCACAATCAACAAATATAATTCATTTCATATCATATGGGTAATTAAATGTTATTTAAACTGAAAAAAATTGATATTTTTAGTGAATAAATACATTATCCACACATTGTACATTGACATAAATCAGGAAAAGGAGTTATAGTATTAAGTTTCATATTATCTAAATATCTAATGTCTAAATCAGTGATGGCCAACCTTTTTTCCTCGCCGGGTAACTTTGGTAAACATTTATCTACAAGCGGATCTACCAAGTATAAAAGTACAATTAATAATCTCAATCTCAATCTAATAATATAATTTTGTTACACATAGTAGGTATAAAATATTTTATTTTATATTAAAAATTTGTAAGGGGCCACATGGAATAACTTCGTGGGTCACATGTGATAATACCTATTGTTATGTTTCTTTAAACAATAGTATACTAGGTATATTCATAAAACAGGATAAACCTAAAGCCGAATTTAAAACTAATAATGACATGGGACATGGACATTGGACACATGGTTCATCTTGTCCAATTTCATTTTTCGTGTCACACCCAAAATAGATAGTAATATTTTAATTTAGAGTATCTATTATTATCACAGTTATTTAATTACTTATGTATTCATTATTTCATGTTTACAAAATATTACATAGCATATTATTACCATTAAATTCAACAAGCCCGTGTAACGCATCACTTGAATTATTTGTTGATATCAAATTATGTAAAATGATATTATTATAGTGTGACCGACATACTACATGTTTTGTTTATGCATTTTTTCCTAAAATGCAAAAGTTTCTGTAATACGACGATTTCTCATCTAGCCTCTAGTCCTCGTCTTATCCAGGTTCCCTCTACTAATAATACATTAATATATAATATGATAATACAATCTAAGTACTAAATTAAAATTTTGAAAAATCTATTATAAACGATTACATTTAGCTACATATATTTAGGTTTAGCCCATTTGGCTCCCATTTGACCAAAGGGACAATTCACAAAAGGCACTTGTTTTTTGGAACACAAATTCCTTTCTATACTTCATGCAAGCTTAGGACTATTTCAAAAGAGTTGTGTTTAAAAATAAAAAATAAAATGTGTTGGTTTTGTTAAATTTTGTATAGTAAGTAAATTATAAAGATTGGCTTTAAAAATATTTAAAATGTATAAATATAAAAATCATACGTTAGTTACATTTTTTATATATTCTGATCTGGATATATCATTAGATGAAAATTCATCAATGATGTATTCATGTATATGATTATATGAATGATACATGCAACCATTAGCGATGATCATGGTCACCAAGTACACGAGTCGTGTAAGTCTGACTTTAGATTTTGAATTTTTATTGATGAATACCGTTTGGGAATAAACAAAAAATGGATGGGAGCAATTTGAGTTGCACTGGTCTAATATACAAAAGTTTTATTTGGCAAAAAATAATTATAAAATATTTCACTGTTTGAATTTACTAAAAATGTTTCAAATATATTTTTACCTGTAAAGCTAATATATAATTACCTATATTTAATATTAAGAAATTATGACTTGTGGCTTTGCTTAAACCAGTGGCGATGGCGTAATTAGGAATTTGGTTGGGGGGGATATATGTTTTTAGCAAACATGAATGTTCATTACCCATACTTTGATCAAAATGTTAGCAGTAAAAAAAAAGTTTTGGGGGGATCTATCCCCCTAATCTCCTCCTAATTACGCCCCTGGCTTGAACATTACAATAATAATATATATAAATATATTACCTATTATATTAGTGTGCAGTAAGAATATGACAGTTTAGGAATAGTTAAACCTAACAAACAATATTTTTGGGAAACGTTACAGCTAACCTTCCCGTGGGTTCCCGGATAACATTAATATGATGTCCAATCAAAAATTAATGACATTTTATAGCACAGAATTAACATTACAGAGTTAAGACTTTCCATTTATGCAATAATTTTTAAATTTTAAATTTTAAAGTTGGTTGCATCTTTTTTCTTCATCAAAATTTAAACCCTCGGCGATACCTAATTGATTTAATTACAAAGGACACTGCAAATTCTAATGATTTTGGAGATTATTAGTATGTTATAGGTAAACCAATTTTAAATAATTTGTATTTTAAATAACATAGTTTTCAGTTATTATAACAATCTAGTTAGATTAGACATTTAGGTAGACATTTCAAGTACTATGATTTATGTGATTCAGATTAACTACAACATTTTCAAGACGAGGAGTCAGTTTACTTACAACTTATTTTTAAACTGCTACTCAGTTTTCGTAAAAGTACATTTATGTAACTGTGTTTACCAATATCCTGAATATATAGGTAGGTACTGATTATAGGGTACCTACTGCACTTAACTACTGCAGCCTAATAATAATAAAGCCAAACAAAAATACAACTTTTAAGAATGGTATTTTTGTTATTATATTTACAATTTATAAGTATTTATTTTATAATTTATAATATCTTGAGTCAATTTGTTTTTAAAGTTTTTCTCTTGAAATTGTTTATATAGCTCAATGTATATTTTGTATTGTAGGCCACTGATAAGTATGCATAATAATATTGTTATAAATTATTACTTATAATATTGTAAACTTATACAGTAGGATATGTACCTATACATAATATTGTATTTATCAGCAATACTATAACGGCAAGGGTAATAATAAATTATAATAGTTATTGAATTAAACATTTAACGTAAAACATTTTGTAACACACATAGGTTAGGTTAGGCCACTTGAGTATTTTGCGTGATGTTTTGAATATATAATATATAATATATATATATTTTTTTTTTACTAAGGGAGTTTTAAACATATTAAAATTAAGTCTAAACATAAGCAACATCCGTATGTATCGATTACGTCATGCCCGATCAAAGATGGCTGTTTAATATGTACGTCTAGCCGAAGCGACGGGTTTTACATATTGTAGGTGAACACGCTGGTAGGCAACAGGATGAAAGGGAAAAATGCTGATTTGCAATGGAAATCACCACCATCGGTCTTATTGAATGCTCTCAGTCAGCTGATGCTGGTCGTGTGGCTATTATAAAAGGAAAATCCGAACGTGACACACCAATTGTCGAGCGCAAGAGCTCCGCACACACGTTGAACAGCCACACCAACAACACATACACACACACATTTGAGGCTTGAGCTGTGCGATAACCGACGATTAAAAAAAAAAATAAATAATTTTAACAAAACCAACCGATAAAATTCTAATAGTATTTAAACGTAAAAAATAATTTTTATTATAATGGAGTTTGTATTCAGTTCTTTAACGTACTTGTTGCTTTTCGTGTTGACCGCCGTATTATTGTTCCTGATTCGAGACGAATTGAAAACGAAACAAGTGGACCACAGAGCGGGTCTCGTCGACCCTCCAGCACCCAAAGCGTGGCCGATAATTGGCCATTTGTACCTGATGGCCCGGTATAAGGTACCGTATCGAGTGTTTGACGAAATTATGGCCGACTTGGGATCCGTGTTCCGCTTGGATCTGGGATCTGTACCGTGTGTTGTCGTCAACGGATTAAACAACATCCGCGAGGTGTTAATGATAAAAGGCGACCATTTCGACAGCCGCCCTTCGTTCCGCCGGTTCAACCAGTTGTTCAAAGGCGATAAAAACAACTGTAAGTATATTATGATTTATTCGATTACTTATACGAAAAAATAAAAACGATAGTTCGTTGTTTAAATCCAAGTTAAAATAACTATTAAATATATTTTTTTAAATTTAAATTTTTTTTTTTCATATAATAGCTCTGGCGTTTTGCGACTGGTCTCAGCTACAAAAAACTCGACGAGAACTGCTCAGAGCTCATACTTTTCCCAACACCCAGTCCAACATGTACACCCGATTGGACACGTGTTTGAAAACCGAATTGGCTGATTTAACAGACACCTTAGACACCATGGCCGACACTGAATGTGTGGACATCAAGAACATGTTGCTCCACACATGTGCCAACGTGTTCATGTCGTACTTTTGTTCCACCCGCTTCTCCAGATCCTACGACAAGTTCAGAGAGTTTATCAAAAATTTTGATGACGTGTTTTATGAGGTAAACCAAGGAGCACCCTGTGACTTTCTGCCCAGTTTGATGCCACTCTACCACTGGCATTTCAAAAAAATAAGGTCATGGAGCTCAAAAATCCGCAACTTCATGGAAACCGAAATATTCAACAAGAGGAAAGCTGCGTGGGTGCCGGGCACCAAGCCAGTGGATTTCGTGGACAACTTGCTGGATGCCGTCACGCAGCCCGACCGGGACGACGGATTCGACATGAACATCGGGCTGTTTTCACTAGAGGACATAATCGGCGGTCATTCAGCCATTACGAACTTCATTGTAAAGACGTTGGGATTTCTGGTGGACAGACCGGACGTGCAGCGGCGCATTCAAGAGGAAGCGGATGCCGTGATTCGGGCTTCCGGGTCCGTCGGGCTCTCCGACCGATCTCAGATGCCGTACACCGAGGCCGTTGTTTACGAATCACTGCGGCTGATCGCCTCGCCGATCGTACCACATTTGGCCAACAGAGACACTTCGGTTGATGGTAAGTACCTACAAACGACATACCGCAATCGTATGCGAACGTTTTTACTCATAGGTTTATTTTTACAGGCGTCCGAATCCGAAAAGGCACGACGGTGTTCTTAAACAACTACAGTCTACACATGAGCCCGGAACTGTGGAACAATCCCGAACACTTCAGCCCGGAAAGGTTCATAAACGCGGAAGGGAGGTTAGAGAAGCCGGAATACTTCATACCGTTCAGCGGTGGAAAACGGTCGTGCATGGGATATAAGTTGGTGCAGCTATTGTCGTTCTGCACTATTAGCACGCTGCTGAACAAGTATACATTGCTTCCGGTTGAAGACGTATCGTACGCCGTGCCAAAAGGGAACCTGGCATTGCCGTTCGTCACTTTTCCCTTCCGGCTCAGACCCAGGAACTTCCGGAAACAGTGAGTCGAAATCTGTTTGAAACGCAGGTGGTCCTTCGGTGGATAAGAAAATTACGCGCCTTCAGCGACACGGATTAAGCTTTTGTGTGTGTATGTGTGTGTGTGTGTGTGCAAGTTTATATTTGTGAAAATGTGTGTGTATGGCAATTATTTGAAGAGTCCTGCGTAACTTTAGGCCCACTCCGATTATTGTGTTGTAGGAGTGTGTGGTTTTGCAGTTACGTGAGACGACAACGTGTAATAGCTATAGTTTGTCCATCTGTATTAATGGTAATAGCGATTACTGATTAATTTATAGCCCGGAAAATGTTACCAAGATAGTTTCGAAATAAATTATTTACGTTGATTATTTTATTTATTTATTATTTTTGTTCACGTCGGTATGATTTAGTAAAAATTATAATATATCGATTGTTTCATTGTGTGATTTGTGAATTACCTTTCTAGTCTTAAATAAATATAAAGGTTGGATAGTTGAAATTCATTATTGTTAAAAAAAATGTTTTTTTTTTTTTTAAACTAAAATTTTTGCTAGGTTATCTAAGACTTAATAAATTTTTTTATAGATATTTAATATTAATTAAGCAAACAATACATAAAGAGGTTATAATTATATATTTTAGAACAGGGTTTGGCAAACTAGATCCCGCGTGCTTTTCTGCATCTCCCAATGCAGTCTGTAATTATGTATCATAATTTATAATAATGTTTTGAAGTCTTATTAGCAGTTCGCGTGAGCTAATTTGTTGGAATAAAAATAATGCAGTTTGTTGAATTTAAAATAGTTAGATATCTATTTTGATATTCATATGAAAAAAGTTTACCCGACACCGATCCCTGTTTCACAATATAAGCCAAAGATAATTTATTGTTATTTCTGTTAAATTTGTAAATATTTATTGACTTGTAAGTTGTAGTTTATGTGAATACTTGTGCACATACTTTTATATTATTTTGTTATTAATTGTATTATTCAATATTATATTAAGAACAATTTAGAACTTTATTATTAAATAATTTGTCTACATAAATATTTCTACTATAACATTTGTGTGTGTTAAAATTAAAAGATTTAACTGCTTATAAATGCACTAATATCAAACAAAAAAAGACATACGCATTCAAAGTTTTAAGTATGAAATAAATATATATATGATCTCTAGAAAAATGTTGACATTCATTAATAGCTTAAAAATCAACAAATAAATTGTTGATTTTTGAAATTTGTTGAAATTTGTTATTAAAATATATAATATGATTTCACTATGAGATATTTTTCGTAAGTATTGCTGTAAACCTGTGACAAATATTTTACTGATTATTAGCAGTTGATGAAAAAGTAAAATTATTTGGTTGAAAAATGAATAACATTATTTTATTACATTTTTTTAAGGTAATTTAGTTTTTGAAATTATATAATTTTAAAAATTTTAATTAAGCATAGTGTTTACTAGTTATAAATATATATATATGTTAAAAAAAATATATGTGTCAATAATATAGTGTAGGTACTCTTTATAAATGTGTAACTCATGTTTGTCCTTGAAAATGTTGATTGCAATAAATACACACAGTTTGAGTAAAACCTTGATGTTTGTAATTTTTTAATTCATTGCTAGTGGAAATCCGACCACGGGTGTAGATATACTGATAAAAAGGATAACACTGTTTGTGTATGAAATATTTATAATATACATGAGCGCTGGTTGTCAAAATATGATAGATATCTCAAACTAAACCTAAAATAAACGAAATGTTCTATAAAACAGTCATTGATATATTGTAAAATATAATACCTAAATAATATGATGATGTGAATATAATTTTCAATATTTATTAACATTAATTTTTCAACTATAATAAATTCTAGTTAAGTGTAATTAGTTTACATCGATTTCATTTGACGAACCTTGAGGTCTCAACATTGTATGTACTTATTCTTATTTAGGAATTTAAAAGAAGAAACATAAACAATACTATTCATACTACAAATGACTTTGATTTATCTGTGTGAAAATGTTAAGCTCAGCAATTTTATAAGTACTTACCAATTTCACAACAACAACAATAGACTGTATTTTTTCATAGTTAATAATTATATTATATTTATAATTTACGATGTATTTGTGCAAAATGCTACACGTACTTGGGTACCTATATGCTAAATCCATATATTCTATTAATGAAAGTTGTTATATTATTATAATTATTATTCGAATATCGTAGGTACTGTTACGTATTAAAGCCCCGTCTGCAAAATTTAATGGTTTGCAAAATAGCTATAAAAAATAAATCGAATTTCAAATCATATTTTCGGAAAATAATAATGTAGTCTTCATCTGCTCGTACACAAAAGGACAGCACATTGCAACGCTCGGATCACATTATTTTTGCAACCAAAATGACCAAGGACTGAATAAATTATACATAATTTAATGTTTAAGATCGAACGTCCATCTTCGATCTTCGTTTGTACATAAAAAAAAAAAATGGTATATAAAATGTAATCCACGATAGTCGTTTTTGAATATATTACTATAGACGCTAACGCTTACATTGCTAGTCGCCTAGATTTGTTTTAAGCATATCAATGATTACTCTCTGTTATAATATGCTGTTTAATTTTCTATTGCGCAACAAATCACATCGTTTTATTCTTTTTTTTTCGTATTAGAAATTCATTTCGAACACGATCACTCAATAATTGAAAGTAGGTATTCAATAGCAAAAATATAGTCGCTGTTATTTTCCGATTGGAATGTATAATTTAAAGAAAAATTATCATTAAAACCATACTGCAGACTAGGAACAAATCAATGCATTTCCAAAGTTGCTCCAATATTCCAATATTCGTCTGGGATAGGTACTGCAGGTACGCCAAGCACAGAACAAAAGAATATTATACACGGATTACGACTTAATGAATGGTATAGTGACTTTTGCTACCATGGGATATCAATTATTATTATAGATAGGTATGTTCCTAATTTACTCGATTTTGTTTGACAACTATAATAGCTGAATGAGTGTATTGTAATACATTTTGTGATTTCGTGACCGAAACGAAGGTATAACTATAAAGACTTTATTCTATAATAAAATAAAGCCAACTGACCAAGAATCAAGATGCGAGTCAATGTTAAACAAACATATTGAGCACATTTTGAAAGAATATAATTTAAACTTTTACAGATTTAGAGTTGTGATGTGTAAATTGTAAAATGGTTTTTTTTCCATTTTCATATAATTTTACTACAACAGCAACAACTACAATATTGTTTTTTTTATGATTCAAAACTATAAAACATTGTCCCATATTATTGCTATAATATATCATAAATTATAATGCCTTGTTTAGTATATTTATTTAATTTCATTAGTAGTATTTAATTTTAATTTTTAATGTACCTACTTAGTTTGCTTATAAAATATCTTTAATTTCGGTGTTTGATATTTTGGTATGAAAGTCAAGAGAGGTTTCAATCAGCCTGATAAAAAAAAAAAATTCTCGACCAGTAACTAATTACCTATTGATGAGATAAGTAACGTAGCTCTTACATAGTACAAACAGGTGCTACAAAAAAATTCAATATTTATATATAGTGTAGCTAAATCCACTACTGCGCTTGAAATGTATTCGAAAAGGATTTTTATAATGTTTGTTAGGTAACTTAGGTATGAAAACTTTGTATAGCACATCAGTGAAATACGTTGTTATATATTTTAACGAACGACGAATGAAATGTTATTATTAGCATTTTGCCCGTGCTCGGCATACACATTTTAATAACTGTAAATATTTCTAAAATGCTCAGAGTCAGTGTCACATTTGCAATGCATTTATTTTGAATTTTAAAAGACCACTTTGGGTCAGCTAGGATTCGTAATGACCCTGTTTAACAATAGGCTTGTTTTGTAAATGTTGTAATGTCAAACATTGCAATCACACGTATTGGTCGATAAATCTTAATACATTTAGTACTGAATATATTTACAATAAATAATGCATAAACGATTGTATTGTATCAGCTACCTACTCGTTTTGTTTAGGCGGTGATTTAAGCAGGATTTCTCATCTACCAGATACTGAAATGTTTAATTTCAGTAAATTAGCGAGAGTAGGATAATTTTTTTCGATAATTTTACTTAAACATATAGGTACCTATATAACCTTCTATTTTGTAATTTTAACTTTGGTTCGAACGTTTTTGAACGTATTCATGAATTCTCAACCTCATTTCTTATGTAACACCATATTATGCGGTTTTTATATCTCTTCCTCATTTGAATTGCCCCTGATTACATTATAATCCTATGCTCGGGATATAGATAAGTGTTACAAAGTGAAAACTGAATAGCACACGATGACACGAAATGTACAGGACTATTTTGGACACGGCATTAATCTTTGTTTCTAAATTTACAAAATAATAAATATATGTATGTACATGTTAGGTACGTAGTATTATATACATGGATATTCATACATATATACACACTATGATCTATGTATATAAATTGTGTATATTATATCTATTATGATCAATTCACATTTATAAAATCTTTATATTTTAATAATTAGGTGCTGTTGGTTTTAATAATAAACACCGTATTTCAACGCGTATTGGTTACAGAGTAGTATAATAGGCCTGCGCATATGATAATTGTATACAATTAGTAGTTTAAATAATTAAATTGTACTACTTACCTATTTTTTTTTATTTTTTATTTTTGTTATTTTAAAGAAGTTTACATGAATTGAAAAAAACGAAAAATGATTGGACGCAAGTGCAGCTGTAAAATTTTAAGATATCCAGTGCTCGATCCGATCTTGAGCGTATTTAAGAGTCTGAAATTATACGCTTGACGGAGAGATCTGTTTCACAGGTTTGGCATATGAGGAAGTCATCTCTCGCCATCAGGAACCCATGAGTGGTTCCATTGGGTGTATTACACAATTGTTATATTAATAATTATATCGTAATAATGCATCTATTATCATTT